TGTGTGTGTGTGTGTGTGTGTGTGTGTGTGTGTGTGTGTGTGTGTGTAAAAATCAACTCAAACAAACCCTTGCGTGCCAACTTATTTCTAGCAATCTTATAACGGGTTGAATTTAATGTTTACTTAAGAAACAAGAACTTAATAAGGCTGTTTCTTGGTCTTTTTCTAATTTTATTAATTTTCTTCATTTTTTTTTTTCTTTTTTTTCTTAATTCTTTCAATAATCGTATAAACTGTGGCATTGTTAAGCATTTCTGCGTACTTACGAAGTTAAAGGAGACATGCCCATTTGACGTGGATCTGTGGGTTGTACAGCAGCCAATTCTAAATTTTTTATTAATAATTGTAACCAATGTTTAGTAGACTTATCATCTTGTAGGCACACTGAAAACGTTGCATCACGCAATTGATCCGGAAGACATTGTCTTAAAGCCTCACGAGCTCTATCAAAGAAAATATGCAGATACATCGTTTTATGTAATTAAATAATGATTTCAATTTATTTATTTATTTAAATTAAAAAGTGTACCTTGGATTGTCTGATAATCGTAAATAACAACGTACTACATGCTTAAGCAAACGTGCTGAAGGCTCTTTAGCTAATTGTATCACCATTTTACCCTATAAAACAATAAATATATATTTCATGTATAATTTTTATATAACGATACAAAAAAACGGTACAAGAAAATTTCTTTTCAAAGATGTGAAATAAATTTGAAAGATCGCCTTTTTTACTTTGCCTTCATGATTCTAGACTGCGAGCGAGCATACGATGCCCAAATTGATGATCAGCCCTATGGCTGAGCGATCAAAATCAACAAAAGAGCAGATTAAAGCGTCAAGTCTTTTGGGGCACAAAAAAAAAAAAAAAAACGCTCTTTGCATCGTTTGCTTCCGAGATGTAAACCAATAACAGCAGAGGATTGTCAGCGACAATTTTTAAATCAATTGAATGCAAAAGCTCATAAGAGGAAATTCCGTGTAACGCAAAATAACCCGCTACAATTCACAAAGTCACCCTTCCAATAATCAAATTAAACGAGCTGCGCCCTGAATTAATGGAACATCCAACTCATTTATTGAATGCGGCTCCGTTTATCGTATTTGATCATTTATTTATGCAGAACATCAAAAAATATCAGCTTGGCGATGTTTTTCAAATGAGGAAAGTCCTTAATTACATATTTAAAGAGATGTAACAGAAATTGATTATGCTACACTTGAAAATAAATGTAAATAGAAATGAATTAACTTTTAATTGATCTTATCAGTTCTCACAAGCCGACGGTTATTATTGCTTCCCTTTAGATAAATTCTTGAATCTATTTAAAGATATCTACCGACTTAATTGTCTAGATCTTTTTTATATAAAAGGGCGTTTTTTCATTATCACCATAAAATTTGATATGCCCGACCCTCCTCTAGAGAACTAGTACGACTTCTATTAAGTCTTTCCTTTTTAATAGTGAATTAAACAAAAAAAGAAGGTTCAAAATATTCATGCATGATGGATAAAATACATAATGGAAGGCGGGCGAACATCTCTCCCGTCACTATATATATATATATAACTTATACGTACTTACCAGTATAATAGCTACATGCGAAAATCTCTCATATGTCTGACAAATATGCGAAAGGCCACTTTCATCCAACAGAATTTTTTGCAATATAAATGTGGCAACCGTTTTACTTAATTCCGAACCAAATTCCATAATGCGTAAGCATAGAGGAATGATTTCAGTGGTCAATAGGAAAGTTATCACTTCCTGTTCATCAGTCTATAATGATTTAAATATCGGAATGTTATTTAAATGAAAATATTTCTCTTCATACTACAAACCTTAACGAGCGCACCGATCACACCCAGACTCGTTAACCTAAGATATTCGAAAGGTCGGGTTTTTGAGGTGGTTTGCAAAAATGGATACAGAAACAATGGAATTTGTGCCTGCAAAAATACGGTACGAGTATCGGGATGCGAGGCAACACATTGTAATAATGCCAAAGCATTACAGACACGATTCGATTGATGAGCAGTTAATGTGGCAGGATTAATTGATGGATAAATATTAATGATCTCTTGTAATAGTGCGGCTATTGTACCGAAACTATGCCATAACATCGGTGCAAGATCTGTAACAGTTTCCCGTTTTTTGCTCAATTCTAGCAAAGCAGCTTCGCGGGTCTCGGGATGAGCCAACTCGTTGATCCATTGGAAAACCTAAAAATAAAATAATTATTTCACACAGTCGCCATAATATTTATAGAGCAATGTAAGAAAAAGACAATAAGGAAATACGATAAATATAAAGGTGAATACGTCATCATCTTAAAAAAGGTTCATATTGTTAGTTATTGCTGCTGCGATAATTGAAAAGTAAATGTACCATTCTTTCCTTATAATATTTCACTCTGTTATTTTTTATTCTTTTATGCTCTATTTATATAATACATGATTTTTCTTCAAGGTTCAATGTCTCTTATCGAACTTTTGTTCCAACAATTCGATTCTTTTATTGACATGAACGGCAGGTCCCATAATCTTCCTGGTGGCACATGTCGGCAATAGGCTTTTCTTCCAGCGTCACTCTGTAGCAGGCGCCTTCGCCCGTTAACGCCATTGGTCTAAATCGCGAAACACGCAATCAATTTTATAAAACTTCACAATGAACATTGAGTTTGCTTTGTGATTGATGAGAATTCGGCCATTTTTTTAAGCCATTACAATTCATCAGTATAATCTGTACATTTTACACCTCTGACCTGTTAGCTCTCCAAAGGACTACGAAGCAAATTCCAAATTTTTCATATGACCTGCGATTGTTCACTAATCGTACTATTTCTAATGATCATAAATTGAGCTTGTACCGGAAGCTCTATAGTTTAAGTGAATAAACCCAAACTTTATAAAAAATAATATTATTTACTAATTTTTATATCTATTTTCGTTAGAAAATACCAAACATTGTACCTTAATTCCATCTAAAGGCATTCATAGAAGTCCAATAACATTTTTGGAGAAGAAATCAGATAAATATAAAAAGTGATTCACAGTACACGCTAAGGTATTAATTCACTACAAATTATAAATTATACGATCACCGTTATGACCTTCTGATCCAACAGCGAAACAATTTCTCTTTTGGACCATTCTACAAGATCGGTCATTTGTGAATTGATTACGTATTTCTTAAAATTTTACATCCAATTATCGATACAAACTTAGGATAAACTACACGTGCTTGAACCATGTTTTATAGAAAAAACGTAAAAGTAGCATGTTAGCATGCCGTAGACAAATTATAAGATTTGCGTTCTAAAAATTAAAAAAATTTATTATCACCTCATATATAATATAGTGATTTTTCTTTTTCGATTTCTTTTAGAATTGATTTTGATCTTTGCAGCAGCAATAAAAGGGCTTATTTACACACACTATAAACTCGAAAACTTTCTGAATAATAACTATCCGTATATGACGCTGTAAAGCACCGATGTCGAAATATATGTGACCCCAACAAAAAACATTGTGTATCTAAATACAGAATTGTGTATCTAAATGTAGAATAATTATTTGGAACTGTAAGACAGGTAGTATAAGATTATAATCACGCTCCCATCCATCATCAAACGGATAGATTTTATATCAATACCTAAAAAAATAGAAGTTTTTTGCTTAATATGGGCGTGTTTGTGGGATTACGAATTTAATTTTTAAAATCTGTTCTGTGACTAAGCTTTCACTTTATATCTTATCTCCTGGGCTTTTGCAAGTTGTAGTAAAAGACAGGAGGCATGGACCGCAGAGATGTACATATTTGTATATGTCGTGCATCGAATGGCGAACTTATTATTATATTCTTTTCTTGTTGACTTATATCAACAAGTGTTTTCTTCTTAGTTGTATTATTTGTACACTGGTTCGCATATGGGCGCTGTTTGCGTATTTTTTGATGCGCACATATAGTTTGTGCATTTCTGTTGTTGTTTGTTATTTATTTATGTACATTGCAAATTCCTGACAAGGTTTTGCACAATTTGGGGTCGTTGATACTTTGAATAAAATATTTCAACAAACTTATACATGTTCAGATACATAAAACGTATTACTCACTTAATTACATATATTATACGCAATATGTCAGAGTGCTTTTTCAAGTGTAAATATACGTATACATAAAAAATAACACTTGGCAACCATAACGAAACAAAAAAGCAAAGAACAAACAAGGATAATACAATCAAAATAAAAGGCATACTGTACAATATGCGTAATCACACAAATATTTATTTCTTTTATTAAAAATTTAGGAAAACTCACTTGTCCGATATATTAATTAATTACGTTTAATATCAACTTACCTTTTCTTGCTCATTTTGGGGAGTCATGCACGCAGGACTAGACTGTGCGCTCATTGTAACTGCAGTGACACACAGAATCACTTTTGTTTTTTTTATACGCAAGCAAAATTTCAGCTCTCGCGATTTTTACAATCTAAAAAGATTCATATCAAATAATTTAATGCAAAAATTATAAATTTTTTCATATTTTTCATATATATGCAAGTTTCTACGTTTTTTAAGAATGTTCCCTTGATTCTACACACTTAACTTTTAATTGCTTATTTTGCAATGACGACACAAGAAGCTCGCATAAAATTAGGTGACGTTTTTTTCTTCAACTATCATATATTATATTTTACCATGCAACTTACTTTTTCGATAAATTTTTTAAATTGAATCGATTTCCTATTAAGTGGATTAAATAAAATTTTCAGTTTGCCTTTCTTTTTTTCTTTAAAAAATTTCACTCGATTCCTCCTTCATAATTACAACGAGACTTTCCGAATATATTTTTTCTCACTGTTATAATGCTGCATCTTATTATGCAAATTACAATATTTACAGGTGAATTGATAGCAAACATTTTTATAAAACTGAATAAGAGCGAAATTATCAAAATTACTCATAATGGAATAGTACAAAAGCAAAAATTAATGCTTACGAAGTCATACAACATTTAAATATCTACAATTGTAGAAATTCTTTTCAATACGGCAATTAATTTTTGTTAAGTCAAAGACAATTTGGACATCTCATTTTAAGCCTATTTTAATAACATTCTGTCGGCAAAGCAAATAAATATAAAAAAAACAATTTAAATATCAAGAAATTTCAACATCATTTTTAAAATAGAAGACCTTGCGCATCTCGAGGACTATTGATGTTTCCCTAACATAAAAAAATTAACGCTGTTTCATTAACAGCCGCTTAATTGTTGGCCCTTTCATTCTCATTATTAGTGTGAGCAAAAATTTCTGTTGAAAAATATTGTCTATCAAGTCAAGGTTTTCGTGTTTTTTTAAGTGCACATAATAGGTAATTCAGGAAAAATGTACGAAAAAACATATTTTGTTTCCATTTTCTCTTTTTGATCATCTCACGTTGAAGTTTTCTAAATTTTATATTCGTCAACTGATTCAATAAATTTCAGGGAAAAGTTTCTAAAGGAATGTAAAAAAGTTTCGCCTCAAAAAGAGAAGACCTCACTTGTCAAATCACTTAACTCTATAAAACTACAATTTTTATATCGTCGGTTCGGTAACGATAGCAAAAGTTTTCCGTTATGTTAATTTATAAGTAAAAATCAAGAAATACTTAGGAATTTATAAGCATTTAATGAATTTTACCTTTCAACCGACAATATATACTTAACTTTTAATTGCTTTTTTAAAAGATGTTTTAATTAAACTTTCACAACGATTTACGTTACAGTATGAAGGAAAGAATGGAATTTGTTTCTGAAATTATTTACCATTCTATAGTTAAAATAAAGGTAAAAATTATTGTTGTTTGCTTGAAATATATATATATATAGCGAAGTGCATTGCCGTTAAAATTTAAAAAAATATATAGATAGTGCAGTTAATCGATTGGGCAAGTGAAACATTCGTATTTCATAATTTAAAATGAGTTATATGAAACGAATTATTTATCTTTTTTTAAAGTGCGTATATTTGTAAATTCCCGCACCGTTCGTATGAGATTAATCGCAGGCAGATTAGCTATATATTTTACATGATTGGTTCTCTAAAATATATTTCGGACTTTTCTTAGCTAATTATAATGCGATATATAAAATTATAATGTAATTACAGTGGATATATATACATATATAATTATGAATATTTATTGAAAATATTAAGAACTTGTCCTTAATCCTATTTTACATAATTTACATTATTTTTTTATTTTCCGCCTATCATATTCTAAATTAGGAAACTTTTTACCCATATAACTAAGTTAGAATCGGCGGTCCAGTTCTCTATTTCATCTCAGCAGCTATTCTCAAATTGGGAAAAAACGAGCTGCTAAATATTTAATTTCGTTGTATGAATATCCTGCCTATTACGGGCCTCGTTTTGTTCTTGAGAATTTGCTGAAGAAGGCATTGAAACAATGTTTAGTCTGACAACATATAAAGCCCTTGACACTTATTTCACTCATCACGATATTCTTTATTTTATGTTGTCGATAAAAAGAAGAAGAATATTTTATTTAAAATTTCCTGTAAGTGTGTTCCGTGCATAGAATATTTCAATAAAAAGAAATAAAAAATTCTAGTTAATAGTTTTTGACTTAATGTAAAAAACGAAAAAAAAAAAAATCACAAAACATTTTTTTAGAAAGCAATATTTTGCTAAATAGCCGCGTAGCATAAACACAACTAAACTTGTGCGTGTCGGAAAAGGCCATCATACATACACCGGAAAATCAGCAGTAGCAGAACCAAACACGTTAAAGCGGTATTTGGAAACCACGCAAGAACAAAAAAGGGAAAGACGAATTGCGAAAAGCAACAAAATAAAAGAAACAATAACGCTGATTCTGTTCTTCTTGTACATTTTTTTTTTTTTGTTTGTTTTGGAAAGCACGCACGCATATTTGCGCAAAATAATTCTTGCGGTACGGTTTCGGCTGACAAAACGATTTTTAAAGATTATAAATTTTAAATTCAGTTTCTAAAAGACAGTGCGAAGAACTGCAAGTGCTTGCTGAATAATCGTAATCCATTCTGCGTGACCGCATTTTCTGCTTTTCATCGTTCGGTTGCTGTTGCTATTGCTGCTACTGATATTCCACTATGAAGATCACTGTTACCACGCTCACTGATAAGATATTCTTTCTTGACGTCTCTGAAGATCTAGAATTGGAGAATTTTAAGGCATTTTGTGAAGTTGAATCCGGTATAAAAAATTCACAGATGATTGTTGTTTTTAATGGTAAACCTTTACTGGACAATAAGAAACCCTTGAAATTCTTTGGTATTAAAGATGGCGATTGTGTTATGCTACAGCAGGTACAACGCGAGCGTACACCCCGAATGGATTTGGGTAAGTGCAGACAGTTCAGTGGGTGTTCATTTTTTTTTTCTTCAAATTTTCTTATATACAGTATGGTGCAAGCCATAATTGTTCATAAGCGTAGGAGCAACATTTCGAAAATATCAAGTTTTCTTTTTGTGTTTCTTTGCTTTTCGGCTGTTCAGCTATTAACACAATTGGGTCATTGAGCTTTACAAAACAAAAAACAAAAAAAATGAAAAATGAAAAAAAGGCAGAGCTATTGTCATTGCTTTTCAAGTATTGTTTTTCCATACCAAATTTATTAACACTTGCACACACTCTCGCCAGCACACGATTATTTCTATTTTAATATGGATGTTTAAAATGCAAACATACAACAAACAACTACAATAACAAGAACATCATATCAAAGATTTATATAAAAAATAAGCAAATGATTTATTCAAAGTAACTAGAAATTGTAGTGTAATTTTTAAAGGCACAAGAACCTCTATATCTGTATATAAAAATATTTCAAACTCGATTTTTTAATCTATATATAAATTTATACCTCTGTAACATGTAGATCTGAAGAGATAAGTACGTCGTCTCATAATAAAAAATTTGTAGTCTCAATATTAAAGAAAAATTGCTTATTTAAGTTTATGCTAAAGTGTTTGACCTCCTTGCTATATTATCAAGAAGAAAAATGCATCCACTTGTCTATCCAAGAAGGCCGAAAATATCTTCTAAACAAGTATTTTACGCAACGCCAGCAACAATAATTGAAAGCATGCAAATACTCTTAGAGGTACTTGAAATGTTTCCAGATGTCATGTAGGTTCACTTCAGGTCTGGTGCAGGTACTATGATTATTCAATATATATATATATATATATATATTAGAATCATAATTGAAAGCAAGCAAGTACTCTTAGAGGTTACTCTTAAAATGTTCCCAGATTATATGTAGGTTCACTTCAGGATTTTTACTCGTACTATGAATACAAAATATATGTGTATTAAGTGCGTGTATGTTTCCAAAGTGAAATAAATAACATTTGTTTGTGGGATATTTTTTCTTCTCGCAAAAATATATCAAATACGTGGGCCGGAGAGAATCAAGTGAAAGCGAAAATGTATACCATAAACTGTGCAAAAAACCCATGTTTTGAATTCCGAAAAGACAGAAAAGTTGGGAGTGGTAGGCGAAAACTAAGGCCTTAAGAGAACAATATGGACTGGAATTGTTTTTCAAATATTTTAATGTAGAGATTTCGACCTCAAAGAATCATTAGATTTATCTCATATCGTATCGAAGCACTAATCGATTTTGATCAGGTTAAAACATTAATTCCGCTTATTCTTCCTTCAAAATTACTCCTTGAATTTAAAAATGACTTAATTTTTTTACGCACTTACATATATGTTTATACATATGTTTATCTGCTTAACAGAGGCTAAAGACTTCAATATCAGTTTGTTAAAAATATTTATATACATATATACATATAGTTTCGATTAAAAGAGAATACTCGCGTTTTATGCGAATTTTTCTCATTCTGTTTCTTCTTTTCTATCACAAAATAAGAGAAGAGTTCATGACAAAAACTATATTAGGTATTAATCGGATTCAAAGAAAGAAACGGGTAAAGCCTTAAACTTAGCGAATATATGATTTTACGCAGATTTAAATTGAAAGTAGGCGGGTCGCAGAATAGTTAAAAAAAATTAAAAAACAGTAGTTGGAGTAGAAGACTCCAAAGTATTCGATTCCATTCTGAAGAAGTGCAACTATTGAAAAACAAAGCAATATAAAATGTAACAGGAAGCTATCGATAGGCAACGGTATGAATTCCATGTTTGACGGCCATTGAAATTGTTTGATGCGATTGCATTAGACGCGGAAACAATCAATAAAACTCCTCCTGGACTATATGTACATTGATAGAGATAGGAAAAATAATTAAGATTCAATTACGGTTCTATTAAATTGTCTATAAACTCAGATATATCGGAAATTAAGCTAAAATAAACATTAATGTTTGACTAACGAGAGCGGAAGAGAGAGAGAGAGAGAGAGAGAGAGAGAAAGAAAGAGAGGGAATGCTGGTACATTTTATGCAAACTTCTCTTGTGCATAAATCGTATTTATGTAGTCAAGATGAAACATTAATATGCAGCAGCGAATTTTCTGTTGTTCCATTTAGCAGATGCAGCCGCCATCCGAAATATGGACTTCAGTCAGATAAATATACCGAGCAGTAGTTCGAGTGCAGGCGTTGGGGCTGGTAATAGTGTTCGCGGGGTACGTTTGCCTTCTTCCGGCGGGCCAAGTGTAATGGATTTCAACGATTCTGACGAAATGAACGTTAATTATGACGATGATCCGGCTACGGTGCGACAAATGTTTCTCGATAATCCTGAATCTTTGGCTTTGCTCAAACAAAACAATCCCCGTTTAGCGGAAGCCTTACTTTCAGGTAATTTGGAGTCATTTACAAGGATTTTGCAGGAGCAAATTAATATACGTAAAGAGCGTAATGCACAACGTTTACGACTAATACATGCCGATCCCTTTGATGAGGAAGCTCAGCGTCTAATTGAGGAAGAGATTAAACAGAAAAATATCCAAGAGAATATGGCAGCGGCCTTAGAATATAATCCGGAGATATTTGGCACAGTTATAATGTTGTAAGTTTCATTAAACAGTAATTCGCAAAAATAATTCACAATAATTTATTTTCAAAAAAAAAAAAAAAATTAAGATACATTAACTGCAAAGTTAATGGGGTGCCCGTTAAAGCATTCGTAGACTCAGGTGCTCAGACTACAATTATGAGTTCGGCTTGTGCTAAACGCTGTAACGTAACGCATTTAATTGATACCAGGTTTGATTTGAAATTTTTTTTTTATTTTGAAAACCACTTTTTATACCCACCACTGTAAGATAACGAGATACAGTCGTTTCGAAAAAAACGAATTTCAGAGACGACCCTATAAAGTATATATATATATATATATATATATATATA